GCAATATATAGTTAGACGCTCACCCCCAACCAGTCATAGCAGATGGCCTGGCTGAGGTTTCTTCCTGTTAAAAGGGAGTTTTTCCTTCCCACTGTTGCTAAGAGCTTGCTGACAGTGGGTCATCTGATAGTTGAAGTTTTCTGTGCATTATTGTGGGGTCTTTAGCTTACAGTTTAAAGCACCTTGAGGTGATTGTTGATTTAGGTGATGATGACTGTGATTTGGCGATTCATAAATAGAATAGAATTGAACTGAATCCTCCTGATACAGTTTTTACGTAGGACTACTGTGGATCATGTCATCAATATGTTTCACTGGCTGGAATCACACACTTCTTTAAAACATTAGTGACCTTCATGCAACATGTAATAACAAATACCCACATTTAAATGCAAGTTCACTCTCTGGTGTGAGGTCCAGCAACTCATGAGGAGAGTTTGGATATTATTTTTCTGTCTTGAGCAGATTAATTCCAAAGTTCTTCTAGAAGCAGTTCTCGCCAGCTGCTGAATGCAAAGATATGACACGGAGTCTCTGGCTAAAACAAACAGACAGTCTGAAATTTAATAATTATGTTTACCTACATCGTTGCCACTGTGAAATTCGCCTTACAAACAAAATATCCCTGGTTCTGGGAGGAGAAGGGAACGGGTCACAAGCTAGAGTACTGCTAGTGCTGGTCCCAATCCCAGATAAATGGGAGTGTGAGTAAGGACGGGTATCCAGTGTAAAATCAAACATGTGGTTCTGTTTGGTGTGGTGACCTCATGGGAAATAAAGGAGCAGCTAAAAGTACCTTCATCTAGAGTCAAATAGTCAAGAAAGTTATACCCATTGAATACAGATATTATATTATAGTATTTCTCCTAAATCATAGTATTTCTTTTATGTTATAGTATTTCTGCTAAATATAGTAATTCTCCTAAATTCCTGTATTTCTGAGAAGTTATCATGTTTGTGCTAAGTTACAATATTTCTGCTAAGTTTTGCTATGTTATAGTGTTTCTGCCAAGTATTATGTTTCTAAGTTATTGCAGTTCTGCTAAGTAATTACATCTTTGCTAAGTTGTTATGCTTCTGCAAAGTTATTACAATTTTCACAACTTTTCAGCTTTTTCAGCTGTTTTCAGCAGACGGCTTCAGCAATACAACTTCACACAGCATTTTTGCAGGAAATGCAAATTTTCTAGTTGTCTTAAATATTTATATGAGACATTTAAAATTAGACTACTGCTAGTTTAGCAGCAATATGTCAAACACAGACCATGGAATGTCAATAAAAATATCTCTGTAAGGATGAAATAACAATGGATGGAGAGCATTGGGCGAGTACTGGGTTAAATTACCCACCAAAGCCTGGAATGTCCACTGTTGACTAACTGTCAACTATAAAGCGAGGGCCTTTTCACTAATTATTTTGTGGATGGGACAGTCAGCTGTCACATTGGACAAACTGCGACTGAAGCTTTCCATAATGTGCAACACTGTTTGTATGCTTGCCTATTTGTGGCTTAGTGCAATGGGAACAAGAGTTTTTAACTCTAACGTGGCACCATCTGTTTTTCTTAGAGTGAAGACTTGCTGTGGAACGACTACGAAGAGAAGATAAATGACCAGCTTGTCCGCACTATGGAGAACTATACAAGCCAGTTTCCTGAAGTCAAGGTAAGCCGACGCTCAAATGAGTCCTGCAGAACTGCAAGGGGACGCTAAAACAACTACTTTGGTCTCTCGGATGCTAAGAGGTCTTTGAATTTCTGTGTTCACTTTGAAAAACTGTTTTTCAGGAACGAGTTGCCAAGCGTGGACGGAAACTGGTGGACTATGACTCAGCTCGACACCACCTGGAGGCGCTGCAGGGTGCAAAGAAAAAGGATGAAGCTAAAATAGCCAAGGTAGCATTACTGTTAAAGCCTGCGCGCCGCAGACGTGCAGTGTGCCAGCTGATAAAGACGTCTGATCTCGACTGCATTTTCTTCTTTTAAATCCTCCTAAACAGGCAGAAGAGGAATTCAACAAAGCTCAGAATGTCTTTGAAGAAATAAATAACGAGCTGCGCGAGGAGCTGCCTGTTCTCCATCAGAGGTATGCTTCAGCAGCAAGCAGACACAGAACTAGCTCAGTGGAATCTCAGTGGGAATCTGGATCATGAGTGGATAAATAAAAGTAGAATATGGATGTAGGTTTTTAAGACTTGCATATTTCGACCATTCTTATATGAAATCACCTTTCAGATTAAATTTATACAGATTTTTATTATTTTGGGAGCTTTTATGTTTGTATTAGATACAAAGTTGAGATGACAGCGTATACACTATATTGACACCTACAGGAGCTGCTCGGCCATGGAAACCCATGCCATGAAACTCCCAGTGTGGAGTTTCTGTGCTGATGTTAATACTTCATGTGGTTTGCCACTTGGTGGCTGAGTTGCGGCGACTCCTAAAGGCTTGCACTTTGCAATAATACTACTTGATTGTGGAATATTTAGGAGGGAAGACATTTCACAAATGGACTTTTTGCAATGGTAGCATCCTATTACAGTACCACACTGGCATTCAATTAACTTTTTAGAACAATCCATTATTTCACATGTTTATAAAGGGTAAACTGCATAGCTAGCTGCTTGATTTTATACACATGTAGCAAAGAGACTGAGAACAGCTGAATTAAAAGAGACGTGGACCAATATTTTTACGTAGTGTAGATTATATGTTTAAAGGTACGTCAGCCAGTATAACTGAACCTAAGAAAAGTGTCACGTGGACAAACTAAAAGGTCAACTTTGTCTTTTTGTCTGTGCAGTCGGATAGGTTGCTATGTGACGGTCTTCGAAAACATTTCCAACCTGAGGGATGTTTTCTATAAAGAAATGAGCGGGGTAAGATGTCACACATCACCTTCAACTTCCTCACTCTCTCACCGGTAATGTGAATTGAAGGTGGACGGTGTGCTTGTGTTTACAGTTGAACCGTGAGCTGTACAATGTGATGAAGAAACTGGAGACTCAACACTCGGGCAAAGCTTTCATCATCAAGGGCCTGAACAGGTAGGGTGTTCTGCTGCACATGTTGCATCATTTGTGGAAGCTGTGTGCGCATTAAGAAATGTGTTGTCTTGAAATGCATACAAACTCTGTCTCTCAGGCTTAAAATAGCCTCCTGTGAAACCAAAATAATAACTGAAAGATGCTAAAATGGTTCTAACAGCTGAGAGGAGATGAAAACAATGGGAAATAATGTGGGTTTGCATGCACAGTAGAGACCTCCATTGCTGACATTGTGTTGCCCAAATGTGGACACTTGTTTTTTAGAGTTGTTTGTTTCTGTGTCAGAAGCGATAAGATGGCCACATAGGCGAGTGGAAGGTGTTGCATACATAGCCTTGCAAAAGTTTTATCTTTGAAATAAATAACACAGACATGCAAGGGTTTGGCACAAAAGTGTTTGTATTCGTATAAGAACGCTCAGTTCTTCATGAAACCAAATTAAATGAAATACTCTAACCACATTTTTTTTCTCTGACCACAATTTTTTCTAACTTGCATCCTGTACTGATGCTTCTGGGAGATTGTTCTTCGTGTTTTTCGTAAACCAGGTTGCGATTTGCCCCCATACTGGATCTTTAAATGGGCTGTAACTCAACAAACAACAAAATCTCAAACTAACATTCACTTTCAGTGCTTCCTATCTTGTAAACTGAGGGTTGGGGAACTCCAGTCCTGCAGGTTTTAGATGTATCCAACACAGCTGATTTAAAGGGCTAAATTACTTCCACAACGTGTCTTGAAGTTCTCCAGAGGCCTGGTAATGAACTAATCATTTGATTCAGGTGTGTTGACCCAGGGTCTAAAACCTGCAGGACACCGGCCCTTGAAGCCTGCAGTTCCCCACCCCTGTTGTAGACAATAAAACTTGTAGAGGGGGATGGTGTGGATCCATTTTAGCTCTTCATTAAGCCAGAAGGCCTTGCTTTTTCAGTGTGAAAACGACCATCATTTAAATTAAAGACAAATAAATTAAATTCAAAGCATTTTGAGAATCTCAAAAATCCTAAAAGTGTCCTAAAGTATTTCTCCAGTGTGTCAACCACAGGCTTCAGAATATATAGTACTGCTTTGGTTTATTAATTATTTTTGTATGGGGGGTGGGGACAACAAATTTGCACCTTCGATTAAACCATTTAAAGCTTTTTAGTGAGGCATGTTGGGTATTACGAGTAAAAATATTTCACTATGAAACACAGAGGAGTCTAAGATATGTTATGCAATAATATTTGGCCCATGTGTTCACTTTTCTTTGATGCACTTTTGGCTATTTCTCACAGTGCTGCTGACACATCTTAGCCACAGCTCATTCTCATTAGGGCTAAATGTCAGGTGTACTATAGGCCCAGATGTGTCTGCTTGATTCTGTGCAGTATTAGTTGAATTGGATCAAATTAAAAAGGTGTTCTGAGGCAAAAAACGTGTCAAGAGTGTTCAAGAACTCTGTTGCAGTTGCAGGTCATTGCTCCTTTAACAGGAAAATAACCTAAAACAGAACTCTACAAGTACTGAGGTTGGCTGATAACACTATGTGGGACTGTTGTCTGTTTATTTTTGCCTGCTTTCCTCACCGAATTCAGTGCTACTTTGGGTAGAAATGTAACTTGTAGATGGGAGGAAGCCACACTTGGCAAATGACGAGGAGTTTGCTTCAGCGTCAAGAATAGCAAACTGATACTTGACTGCAACAAAGTCCACTGATTTCACAGAAAATTCTAGATCTTTAAATGGAAGAGTTCTGCTACTTTTGGACACTAATTTTTTTTTTCTTTCCTGTATGCTGGGGTGTTAATGATAACTCACAAATAATGTGCTTTTGTTCTTTAAATAGCACAAGCAGCAAGTCAAAGAAGAGAAAGTCCCTGGCTATATCCAATCCCATACCCTGCAACACCGCTTTCCCAGCTGACCACGTCTCCGTGCATTCCCAAAACGGCAAAGATGCTGCACCCTCTTCCCCTGTCCCAAAGACTCAAAACATCGCTGAAGAAAGCATCCCGGCAGAAGAGAGCAGCATCCCTTCGAAAAGTGTTAGCTCATCAGATTCCGATCTCAGCTTGAGTGGCACCGGCTCACCCAAGAGGCAGTCGCTATGTGACAATGACAACAGCGACAGGAGCGACACGAGCAGTCAAAATCCAGAGGCAGCAGCTGCGTCGGAGCCCGCTGAAAGCCAGTCAGAAGACAGCAAGGAGGGAGAACCAAAGTCGGAGGCAGCAGCAAGCCAGGAGATCACTGATCCCTCGGATTCTGCTGGTGGCGATGCCCCACATAAGGATGCTGAGAGCGATCCAACATCAGAGGAGGCCAATACCAAACCGGCACCAGTTCCAGCCCCTCGTGTATCCTTCCGCTCCAATGAAAGCCCCCTCTTACCTGCTAAGGAGCAGGAGGATTTGGACGAAGGGTTAGAGTCAGGAGATGACTCGGGTTCCCCCAGTCCACCAGGCTTCCTCTATAAGGTACACACTTAATCTTAAAGCAGCTACAGCTGACATTTCTATAACAGTAAAGTCCCCCTAAAATAACCTGGAGAGTCTTAATAATTTGCATGAACTAAGCCTTTAAATGTCACAGCTGTGTGGTAATGTGGAATAAAACAGCTTTGTTTTACACCAGGGGGTGGCACTAGAGAGTCACGCAGCATCTGAAGAAGGCCTGCTCCAGTTTGAAGAGGGCGACGTCATCATGGTTCTTGCTGACACTCAACAGGTGTGTTTGTGTGTTTGTGTAGTGTGTACTTGTAAACCATATCTTACTTCCCATTGCACTCTGGAGATTGCACACATCCTGTACATTCTGGACCTGGACATGTCGTTTAGGCCACTGTGTTTGTTTCTGGCCTTTCTGTGTCGGTACTTGCTAACGTGCATTTTATCACATGCCTGCGTATTTCAACCCACCAGCAAATCAAAACAGTCCAGTCGTTTGCAGGGAGGTGATAGTTTGTACAACTAAGTTTGCTGTGTTGATCAAGTTGGAATAGTCGTCAGAATCTATAATCAAACCAAAATGCAACCAAAACCAAACACTGTAGTTTAATGTAGTAGACTATGTTCAGCATTCTGAATATCCACAGCAGAGTGTCTGAAATGGCACATGACGCGTTATGGATGTACATCAAATGACAACACAGCAAAATCTCACTACTGTTGTTCTACTTATTGCATGTTTTTGAACTTTTGCATCATTTTGCGCCTCTGATAACACAAGGTACCAAATTCTTCAGTAGTGAGGATGACCCTAAACCTAACTTCACTTTTTTGCACTAAATGGTTAGCATAAACAATACTGTGAATGTGCACTAAAATGACAAGGTGATATTTTAACATTTACTACACTAAACAAGCCCACAACAAAAAATCTGCTTTTAGCCATTTATAGTTAGCATCATCATGGATGCTAAATGTATTTGTTTCTATTACAAAGCCAGTTGTTGCCACTATTGAGGGCAAAGCATGCACAGTGTTCCACATTTAACTCTTCTGCACTAAATGGTGGGATAAATAATACTGTGAATGTACTTATGCACTAAAATGACAAGGTGTTGGAAGCATGGGATTGGAGAGAGCTTTAGCTTTTTGTCACAGCCTTAACAAAAATTGGATTGAGCAGCTGTAAGATGAAGAGCCCTTAATGGTCTGATCCCTGGTTGCCAAATCTGGTCAAAGACCAGAAAGAAGAAAAGAAACTTCACCTCTCTGGTGGGAAAAGGGCACAAACTAGTGTGAAAAGTTCTGCTTCCCCTGTGGAGCTGCTCTGAGTGAGAGGCCATGTACAGTACAGGGGTGGGATACTTGTGCTCTTCCAGTTCGGTACTTGTACATTTTGTACGTTCTGTTTACATTCCTGCTTTCACCTATGGCTGCGAGCTGCGAGTAGTGACTGAAAGAAAACTAGAAAAAGTTGCATTTCTTGCGAAAATGCAGTGTGAATGCAATGTAGTGGAATCTGCTGAAAACAGCTGAAGAAGTAAAACGATGTGCTGAAAGGCAGTGAAGAAACTGAAAACTGTGCTTAAAAAAAAAACAGGTGAAGAAGCAGACATGTTTGCTGAAAAGAGGTGAAAAGCCAAGAATTCTGCTGAAAAGGGGTGAGGAAGCTGAAATTTGTACTGAAAAGAGGTGAAAAAGTTGAACTGTCAGCTGAAAAGAAATGTTGCCATGAGCAGGGTTCGAATCCAGACCTTCTGGTCTCAAGGCGGCTACTCATCTCACTGAGCCAAACTAGTTCTCAGGTAACTGGAAAGAGGTGGAAAAGCTGAAAATTCTGCTGAAAAGAGGTGAAGAAACTGAAATTTGTGCTCAAAACTGGTGAAAAAATTCCACTGAAAACAGGCCAAGAAGCTGCAAATTCTGCTGAAAAGAGGTAATGAAGCAGAAGTTTGTGCTGAAAACAGCTGAAGAATCTGGTATTTTTGCTGAAAGGGGGTGAAGAAGCTGAAATTTGTGTTGAAAAGTTTAAAAAGTTCAAGTGTTAACTGAAAAAAAAATGTTGCCATAAGCGGGGTTTGAACTCGGGCCTCCCGCTCTGAGAATGGCTGTTCATCTCACTGAGCACAGGTCACCCCAGCAAGCAAAATCTGTGACCACACTGATAATGTGGTCCATTCATTTCAATGGGACAAAAAAATTGCATAAAAAATTTAATATCTCAAAAAGTATAGAAGTTCTGAGCACCAAAAGTCATAGCTGGCATTAGCAGAAATAGCAGAATTTTTAAGATTTGAACAGTGCAAAACTGTGGAAGTAGTTCCACGGCAAAGAAGCATGGAGCAGCTAGTATAAAGTATGAAGAATGCCTTGTTGTTGTTGTCACACAACAAGTAAGACACGTGGCAGAAATGAGCCGTGTCTGAATGATGTCTGCACTCACCCAGACCTCTTTTATTAAGGAGCTGCTCAGACTAGTGTCACTGATTCCCAGGCATTAAAAGGAGCTAGTCGAGGTGGTTGGGTCATCTGACAGCGATGCATCCTGTGCACCTCCTAGATGAGGCGTTTCAGATATGTCCACCCAGGATGTACCGGAAAGATTGCCTTGGGATCAAGGAAGGGTGGGAATGTCTGCTCATGCTACCCCATGACCCAGACCCGGATGGTAGAAAATGCATGAATGGAGTCTGTAATCAGATGCTGTGAGAAAAAGCTTACTTGCAATGATTAAAAAAGACAACAACAACAAAACAATGTACACAGGAGACGCACAGGCCTGTTTTCCAGAAAACACAGAATTAATTCATATTAAGAGCTGCTCTGATCAGGATATTTAAATAATAACGGCATTCAACGAGTCCTGAAAAACAGATGGAAATGCACGTTTGGCTTCCCATAGATGACAACTGTTAACCTTCTAAGTCGTTCATAATTTTATATTATTTTTCAACTTCCATGTCGAGGTTATCTAGCGTCTGTTCACACTCCTCTTCTGGTCACGGCTGAGTTTGAGTTTACTTTCACGGACTGGTCTCCCAGTCACTGTGTGTACAGTGTGGAAATGAATTCAGAAGCACCATTTCACCCTGTTAGTAAATCTTACTGTCATGTCCCGAGTATCTAATCAGAGGGTGGATTTGTTTCCCTGAGTCCTCACATGTGTTTACTGTGTCTTGCAGGAGGAAGGTGTGGTGAGGGGGGTCAGGGAGCAGAGCTGGAACGAGCACCAGGATGCAGAAAATCACTCCGGGATCTTCTCGGAAAAACTTATCCGACCCATTAAAGAAGAGTGAGGCAATAGTCACTGCTCGGTCTGTAATCTGTTTCTTCTTCCATCAGGCACTTCTGGTGACTCACACGCGCGCACACACACATACACAGCCTCACACACACACACACACTGAGAGGGAGTGAACCCATATGTTATGGGTGCAGAAGCTGTCCAAACAAATGAGCACAATTCCCACGTGGTTTCCCTCATGCTATGATGTTGCAACTTGTGGAACAAAAGCGAACGAGCCGAAGAACATTTTGTAAAAGACATTTGGAAATCTTAAGGCATGGATCTATGAGACACTGTTTTTAAGTTTTTAAGCCCATGTTATTATCCTGTGTAATGTTTCCTAATAAAGTTGTAAGAAAAAAAAAAAGTTGTTGTTCTGATGTAAGATTTTAACAAAGTAGGTTTCATTTGCTGTATGTTGTAAATAAAGCATAATGTCGCCGCAGGGCCGCTGATAAACAGCCTGAGCCCGAGAAAGAGCTGCAGTGATTCACTCGAAAGGAATGTGAAAATATTGTCAGGACCTGAAACTCGAGACACATTGACTGATCGACTGTGAGAGCTTTTTGGAAGTGGGAGCTGTCAAATTTAAAAACAAACAAAAAAGCTGGGGCAGACTACCCTCAGCCTGGCAGCTCTGTCGTTTGAATGAGAA